ATTCGCCCCATAGATGGGTGATCATATCAGCCCAGCTCGAAATGGGCTTTTGGCCCATTAAGTGTTCARTGYTTAACTAGTTTCCAATTTGCTGCCCAGTTGGGCTTCTTTGTATGGCGTGGGACCCAAGCATTGATTTACACACCAACCACATGGGTTCGGCCCAACCTTTATTACAAGACCCAGCCGAATTCACTGAAAAACTCAGTGAACCCCTAAGTCCATCACATGGACCCTATGGGCGCAACACTTACATTAAGTGGTCCCTGGGCCAAGCCATCTTATAAAAACCCAGGGACTGTGGGCAGGTGCAAGATTAGCCYATCAGGTATTATCCTAAATGGTCTTACACTTAACCTCTCAACCCTTAATGATCAAGCACTGCTCGACAAGAGAGGACATCTCCCTCGGTTGCAAGGAACAGTGCCGCACTCTCCACTCACATGGATCCCGGGAATTGAAACCATTTGCAAACATTTTGAAACCGTACATATATATAAATATATTAATTTTGCAAAACAAAATTCCAGCGATTGAAATCAACTGCCGGCAGTTTGGTTTCCATCAGAGAGAGTACATTCCCGATCATTACCTTTGTCCGACAAAGGGGTTGATCCTGTCACTATGATCACCCGCTCAGATGAATTCTCAGACTGTCCCAACATACCCAGGTTTTGATCCCCATCTAAGGATCTCACTGATTGGCATATCAAAGATAGTCCGATCTGACACCTAGTGAAGTGTCATAATCGAGTCTAGGGGTCAAGTGTAACTTTCCAGTTTTGCCCATCTATCTCCAAAGTCTAAGGCAATACTGGAAATCTGGTCCGGTTCATCGATTTTGTTTTATTGGTTGCATCACTATAAACCATTTGGCAAAATTCTCGAGGTGAAGTTACAACCATTTTGGAAGGATTATTAATGGCATGAAGTTTGGTTTCATCCTAAGAGTAATGTTGGGGATATGCTCAATTCCCACATAGACCCCCTTAGGAGACTACAACATATAATTATGGAGTGCAACTATATTCTGACATTTTTCTCAAGCTACAATGGTTTTTACATCTCTAGGTTGTAATAGATTAGTTCACAAACTTGCTACTAGTTGATGCAATAGGTATCTATCAACCTTCCTCCTAGAAGACCGTTCGGATAGACGGGCAAATGAGGTCGGTCCATCGAATTGCAAGAAACAAAGGATCAGAGTACTCAGGGTGTTAAATCTAGGTTGGGCACTCCGATGCTTAACTTAGTGATGAGAGTGTTGAGAGCAGAGAGCTTAAGAGATCAAGGAGTGGGTTGCACAAATTGCATGTGCCTTCTAGCAGAATAGTGAGGTCTTTTTATAGGCATTAGGGGTTGTGTTCCATGTCTGAGATACCCGGGAGAGGCCAGCCTTATTAGTCCGTTATCTTTGGAGTGCGTTTCTTCCACATTGGCGGTGATCCATATCTGAATTCCCCAAATCGTGCGGGAATTAGAGATATGTGTACTAGGTAGGCGACGTGCCACCACCCAACTTGGAACCAATAGGCTTGCCATTTTGGGTAAGGATGTTCCACCACGTTAGGTCGGAGGATCGGTACCCCAGAAGGCCTACTCACCACTCAAGTCTTCGTCTTCCTGGGTCGAGGAGATCATGCTGGCCTTCGAGGTCCTTGGCTTGTCCTCCTGAGGTGGTGTGTGTGCCACCTTGCCATAGAGCGACCTGTCAATCTTTCTTAGGTCAAGAGGTAGGCCAAGTAAGTTGGCCTCTCAACTCCATCTGACCTGTCTCCACGTGGTGCCGAGGTGTTATCTAGCAGTTTGAACATGCCATGTGGTGCTTCAAAATTGGCAAGCCAAATCACCCCTAATCAATTGCCCCCACCCCACTCCCAAGCTCGAGCTACTAGGCTTGGCGGAGGGAGTAGCTCAATCCGAGGTGAATAAGGCCCAAAGATCTGATGGTCGGTTCTTCATTGGTTCATAGTTTGCGTCGATCCGGTTTACTTGGATCGAGGTCCCCTGACAAGTTGTTTATGGGGTACACGTGGATGCTATGTGGAAATTAAGCTTTGTTGACATCAAAAGCACGCATAACTAGTTTTCAGCCTTGAGAAATGAAGCGTTGCGCCAATCCCAACCATCGGATTTGGACTCATCTCAATCGTTGGTTGCCCGGGTCCTTCACCCATAAATAGAGGGCCCCTAGGGGAACCATTTGCACCTGTGCAAGTTTTGGAGGGAAGTCAAAGCAATTGCAAGCTTGGGTGGTTAGGTGTTTCGTCCAATCAGGTCAGTCCTAGTTGCTCTTTCTTAGTTCAGTAAGTCTTCTACCTTTCCTTTAAAGGTCGCTACATAACTTTCTGGACTCGAGCTGGTCCCCTCACACCACTCCCACTCCATAGTCAGTGGGGAACTTCATGGCCAGGTGGTAGGTGGACACCACGGCCCAATGTATGTACAGGATTGGGCGGCCTAGTATGGCATTGTATAATGATGAAGCCAACTAAGGTTACGTAAACTAGGACGAGGTCCTTCCTCTACAGCCCCATCTTCTCGAAAGCCTCTAAAAACAAGATATCGGTTGAGCTTACAGAGTCAACCAGGATTCACTTTACCTCATAGTCATGGATGTTGAGTTTCACTACGAGGGCATCATCATGGGGGTAGTGGACCCTATGAGTGTCATCTTCGGTAAACTAAATCACCTCCTCCACTCGTGGTTGCTTTGGTGGATTCTCCTCCTCTTGGTTCAACTCGTGGGCCGAGGTTATGCCAGCCGAGGAGCTACATCCCACTACAATGGACCCACCGGCGATCATGTGGATCACCTCACAAACTGGTGGGTCATCATGTTGTTGTGGGGACTGCTTTCTACTTGGCAAAGCCTCCTGCCTTCTCCACTTGTTGGCCAGTTAATCATCCCTCTTGATGAACTTCTTTAGGTAGCCCTGTCTGATGTGCTCCTTAATCTTGTCATTTAGGTTTTAGCAATTCTCAATGTTGTGCATTCTTTCTCTATGAAAACTGCATTATTTTTACTTGTTCTTGTTTGTCGGTTTTCCCATTAGAGGAGCAAACCACTTCAAGTACTTGGCAATAATAAAGGTGTAAACCGGGCCATGTTGGGCTGGCATGGCACAGTCCACGAGCCAAGCCGGGCTGTGCTTCCCTCCCCTGGAATACTTCAGGGAGTCGACTTGGCACAGCCCACGGCCCAAGCCCATGCTGGGTTAGGCCATACCGCGGGCCTGGGCTAAGCGAGTTGTAGGCTGTGCCTTGGGTTTGGTCCGTGTCAGGTTGAGCTATGGGTCGGACCTTGGGCCTTTTTTTGACATTTTGATTTTTTATTTTTTGCTAAGTAAACACTAAAACTAAAATACTTTACTTTGCTTTGAGCTTTGGGGACAAATTAGAAAAATAAAAAAAAATAGTTAAATACTTAACAAAATATAAA